ATCTATTGCGATTTTACCACCGTTGTCAATGAGTTTGTCTGTGGCTGTTTTGAATTTGGTCTTGAAGTCATCTCCTGATGCAAATGCTTGCGATGCGATGTTTACTAAAGAAATCTAAGACTTTCTTTAGCGAGAAGGAAGCTTTGAAGCCGGTGGCTAAAATTTTGAGTCATTTAGGCGCAGCTAGGTACCGCTTATTCCTCCAGAAAGGAAGTCCTGAGCAAGACGATGACAGGTTAAGTTTCGAGTTAGCACTTAAAGACAGTCGTCGTTGATACGATCGAAGGACAACCTGCGTATCTCAGATTTTGTATGAAGAACGAGAATATCGGAGCGGAAATTCTTTAAATAATAAGCAAAGCTGTTGTTGATGGATTAATGGATAAAGCGTTTCCAACATGGATCTTAATCTGTTGAAGGCGATTTAATCCATAGTTTTGTAGCATTCAAGGCATCTCACATAACGAATTTGCTCGGACCGATCGTTGGCACATCGGACCTATCACGTGATAGGTTCCAACATGGTTAAAAGAAAAGCTTTGCGGGAAATGCAGCCAGTTTTTGTCAAAATGGATGGCTTCTTCATCACGATAGTGATCCTAACCTCGCGCCGCGTCCTTTCCGTTCAAGAGTTTTTAACCGAAAAAAATATTTCTTTTGTAGCCTACTTAACATACTCTCTGTACTCTACTCAACGCTCTTGTGAACTGCTGTCCTGCTTAAAATTGATATGAAGCTCAAAGTACGAAGATTTAACGATATGCCTACCATACAATAGAATGCAAAATCGGAACTCGACGAACTCAGTTAAAACCTTACAGAAATATAAGAAGCGTTGATGTACTTGCATTCCTCGATGGGAGACTACGCTGAAGAGGTCTACTAGCAAAATAGTTTCGAGTATAGTGTTTTCTTTTTATATATAAAGTCATAGCGTTTTGATCAAACTTCGTAATCAGTGTTCGAATGCCATCCTCAACTTTCATAATGCTGGTGACATAATTGTTGCAAAACTAAGCGCACACTCATCAATGGTCAATAAATTAATGCGTTAATTACTGGAATCAAAATTGCGCACAGTTATTATTTCTGATGACTGAATAGTGCTACAAAATTCCGTTCGAAACTGCTGACTCATGGTGATAAACCTGGCTTTGAGCGTGTAGTTTCAAATTTGATGTCATTATTTCCAAAGTTCATCATGACTTTCAGTCCTTGACCTTACTGGATTTTGCCATGCCATTAAGCAAGCGGTGGCTTTTCGCATTTATTTTTTACTTCCACTTCAAATCACCATCAGTCTTTTTTAATGCATTGCTGGGGGGAGGAAGAACTTTCCCTGATATGTCATAAAAATTTGTTTTGCCCTTTCATCCACTTTGCTCAAGCATGTTTCTTCAAATCGCTCTGTCTTCGATCAGGAGGTCTTACAACTGGCCGCTGGCCGCTTATTATCTCTTGGAACACAATCAAGTATCTTTTTGGTATAGCGATGGTCGGTTCTTCTTGCAACGTGTCCTATCCAGTGCCAATTTACGTTCTTCACGCTCGGGCAATGATGACGCGAACTCTCTCTTGTTTATGCTTTAACCAATTCGTTTGCCTTCCCAGTTCCTCTCGCTACTTTTAACATACTCTTTCTATGCTGCATTGCGTAGTCTGTAGTTTCTGAACAGCCTTCGTACTTAAGGCCCATATTTAGCATCCGCACGTTAGCGCTGGGAGCACGCGTTGATCAAAGAATCTCTGTTTCAAGCACAATGACAGATTCCCTAATCTTCTAGATGTTCTCAATACCATTTTTGCTCTTCTACTGATTTTGTAGAGTTGGTCATCGCTGCGGCGATCAGTTGCATCAGACAGATGTAGTTTGGGAACTCTCCTAGCTTCAGTTTGTTGACTTAGACAATCGTTGGGTCACGTGTTTGTTAAACGTTACCTGAGTCTTTTCGCTGTTCAGTTTCAGTCTTGTTTATAAACTAGAGTCGTCGAGCTATTGATTTATTATCTGGCGTTTATCGGGAGATTTTGAGAGGATCAAAATATTGCCCGCAAATCGCAGATGACTTAAGCAGTGTCCATTTATCCTTGTCCCCTCGTTTGCTAGTGGAGTGTTTTATGAAAGCTCTACAAATAACTTCGGTGATGCTGCGTCACCCGTAAGAAACAAAGCAAAAAGGAAGGCACAGCTTCATCTTGATGTTTCCACTCATATGCTAATTGTTTAAAATTTGAGGGAAAACCTGAGTTCGTTTCGGCTGATGTTACGCTGTTTCACCACGTTTCACTGTCTTCTTAAATTGTGAAGGCAGTCACTATTCTTATGACGGACTGTCTTTAGATGTTAGTACTCCGTGCTGAACCGTTAATAATTTTCTGCCACCGGCATGCATTTTATAAGTGAGCTAAGTAAGTTTCTCTCAACTTAGCGTTGTAGGTATGAAAGCATATGATGATCCAACACCCACGCTTGCCTTTCGATTTCCTCCATTAATCTGCACGTGTAAGATTGAGGATTATTGGCTCAAGACCAGCTTGCTAGTCACGTACATGGCAAATGCATGTTTCTACCGTACATGACAGGACTGGATTGAACGAGCACTGACGTATAGAACGACAAACACAGCCCTCCGTTAAGAGTCATGAAGATATGAAGTACATGCTTGAAAAGATGATTTCTCAGATTTTGATAAGTCAAGCAAAGAAGATGCATTATTTCCATCTTCTGAACAGTCATTCTCAATTTAGAGAGAAAACCGCAAAGCGAAAAAGATTTTTCAGAGACTAATACTGTAGCTATTTTGTTCCTCCATCCATGCCTGTAGCTTGAATTGCTTTCTCTCACCCTATGTCCTTTCTAAAACGCGTAAAAATTAATGTTGTGAACATTTTGTTTTACTAACCTGCAAAGTTGGCAAAGTTGCCATTTACAGTGGTGATCGGCGTCTAGTCCTTAACCACCTTAAATGGAAGCAGTTTTTTCGTGCTAAGTACTTGTCAGAGATTAACGGCGTCTTCGATTTTATCGACGTGTGCAGCATCTGATTGACTGATCTTCGGAATGCCAGCATGGCACTCTATGTTATAATTTTTTATTGAGGCGATGAGTTCAATAAACTCTGGTGGCCGTTTGACGCGGATCGACTGTCAACGTGAGTTGGGTGTCGAAAGTTCTGCACAAACTGGGTTTGTTGGCAAGTACAGCCGCGAAGTCATGTAACGGCTAGTCGATGACAAACGATACTATGCGTCGAAGCGTTGTGAAAAAAATCCTTCGACTGTCTTCAGTGGATAGCAGCTGAAAATCTAAACGAATTCAGATGCTAGTGCACTCAGGAAATAAAGAATAAATCGTTGAACTTGCATAATAATTGCTATATTTCTGTGGACCAAGACAGTTGATACACAGAGGAGTCGAGGTTCTTCCAAAAAATATAGCCACGTCAACAGCGTTACAATGTCAACGATGACCTGTATTTGTATTAGCGATTTCAGGAACCATTGTAATTTATCTCCTAAAAATGCTCAGCAACAAAAGAGTTACAACTAAGACTGTTGCACAACACACGTTACGTTGCACCAACATATATGACGATTTTGTAAAGACTCTTTTTTGCAATTGTAGTGAACACACACCTGAAGCTGTTTGTGCGTAGATATTCTAGCGAAACATCATTTTTTTCTTTTCTCCTATTCAGCGACACCTCATTGATGTGGGGTAGTGACATGAGTTCTGCGAATCATCAGCGTTTGCATTTCAGAATCATAAGCAGGAAATAAATTAATACCTATCCCTCTCGTTTTCAACAGTGTACGTATAAAAATGACACTGTGTGAAATATTTTGCAGGAATGAAGTACGATCCAAATGACATTACACCATTCAGAAAGAACAAATAAATTCATTAAAGAAGAATCGAATAGATACACTTCCAGAACCAATGAATGCGATGTTCCATTTATATGGGCTTTTAGTCAGAGTATCTTGTCCAGAGATATATTATTCCTGAAAAGCTATACGACCTGGTTCAAATATATGGAAGGAGTCTGTTCAAGACTCCAGATGTCTTCAGCCGAAGCTCAGACTCTGGCACAGGATCGGGAACGTTAGAAGCTCTGTCTAACGCGTCTGCCTCCGTGACCCGAAAGGAGAAACGGCGATGGAAGATGATGATAAAGAAAGGCTATACGACCGAGTAATATTTCGACTTCATCATCATCTCGTTAGCCGAACAACTTCGACTTTCATAACGATATAGAAACATGCCTCTCGCCCCTCCCCGGGGCATGCCATCACCTACCTCGGAGAATAACTCCATTCAGCGACATGGATGTGAGGAAAGACATATACCGATCTGATACAGTTTCCATCCATCCGTCTATCCATCGATTTCAGGAATCGACTGCTTCGATTGAATTGCAGTTGCAAGAGCCTCAGGGAAATTTTGCGGTAATCTCGATTGTCTGCCATGGGTCTCCAAACAGTGACTATGCACAACATTCAGTGTACTGGTGCAATCTAGATCTCCGATCCGTTGCTTAGTCTCAGACCTCGAAGCTTTGCGAAAAGTGTCCATCTCGAGATTCGCTCTATATCAAGATCGCGCATCAGAATTGTGTGAGACTGTATGATTTCACCGCGCTACTCCAAAGAAACTGCACGTACATCACTTGTGCTTAGTCTTACAAATTCCTATGCAGAAATTGGCATCGCTTGAAGTTTTATAATTCTAGGTTCGATTGAATGCGCTAAACGAGCATTCGGTGCGACGTTCATTAAAAGCAAGTTTGAATGAACTAGAAAATCATGGACAACTGTAGCCGTGCATCAGCCATGGACATATGAAAGCCCTTCATTATGAATCAAAACAATTGCTGTCGCAGATTCCATTGACACCGAACACGCTTATGTGACACGCAGAACTTTCGACAACAACACTGTTTTAATGGCATTGGCGTCAAAGCTGCCGGAAACTAAGGTTCAGTTCGGCTCCGGTCTGGTCACCTGTTAAAGACGTTTATTCGCTGGTCGTTGGCTGCAAACTCAGCAATGTGACTGATGGCAGAGTGGACGAAATGCGGCGTCAGGCCGTATACTTCTGAAATGAACAACTGGTCAACATAAATCATCTGTCGAACAACGACCATTCGATTTACTACCGTTTCGCAGACAAAATTTGTGAAATCGGTACGTCAGCAGCTTGACGACGTTTTCTGTCAGCCACGGGATGACGTCCTCTTCAATCTCTTAAAACGCATACGTTTGTGTACATCACATTTGCAAGGAGCAGCTGTATTTGCTTCCCGCAGATTTTTCGTCTTGCATTATTTAAATTTTAACTCGAGTTTTCGCGCTTTCCTCTATCTTCCTCTCCAACAGTCAACATAAATAAATTTTGGCTATGTAAATACCTGGCGTAATACCGCTCGACTAGCATACAGGTGTGACGAGGTCCCCAGACAGAATAGCGGACTTTGAAAATAACTGAATGCACGACGACGGGACCACGGAGAAATCACTTGCCGTAGCACCGCTTGGTGCTTTCGACAACAAGATGTTGCGCACGGTTTAGCTTGTGTTGTGAAGAAAACACTTTAATCTGAATGATCAGATATTTCGTTTCCCTCAATAGGGCACCAAGACATGGATTGTGGATCGCACTTTAGCCATGTCCGGTATTCCAAAGTAGGTAAATTTACCAAACTGAGTTTGCTATATGTACCGTTCCGTTTACCGTTCCACATCACGTTAAAGATGGTTATTTCAACTTTTCTGAGGCAGATATTCGTTCGGTACCGATACCGCTTGGCAACACATGAAAACTTCCTATCATTACCATACCTGCTTTGATGTCTTGCTTCGAGTAAGTGACGATCACCGGCCCCACATCGACCTCGGCGAAACTCTGCAAAGGTAGTTGCAGCTCAGGAACTTGTGACCGCTGTTCCAAATGGTAGAAGCACCGCGCAGTCAGTTGTTGCGTGCATTCAATGGCCACGAAGCGTGCGTGTAGGAGTTTGTTTTCGCGGTGCAATGCCTGGCACTCGTCCGCCGAAAGTTTCTAAAAGTAACCATGAGGAAGCAATGGCGACGTGGCGGTTCCGAGATTCACGTTCTGCTCCTCTAGCGCCAGCGATTGCTTCTCCAGTTGGATAAGCTTCGTTAAGTCATTTCCGCGTTGCAGCTTTAGCTCTTCCACCCAGCGTTTAAGGCTGCTCACTTCAGTGTCATCCGGAAGCTTTTCACCGTCCTGA